GTGTGTGTGTGTGTGTGTGTGTGTGTGTGTGTGTGTGCGCGTACAAACTTTACTTTACCTGCCCATTGTCCATACGCCTGCAGGTTCACCTGACAAAGCGACGACAAGACATACTGTCTGAATCCACGGCAACATTTCCAGGTGAGTTTCAGCAGGCTGAGAGCCAAAATTAATAATCCAAAGACCGCCAGAACATCAGTCAGCAACGTCTTACGGGAGAACTCCAGACCAAGTAGCATTTCCAGCTGAATGTGGAAGAGTTTAGAAACAGCGTTCTCCTTTTTATAATAGAAGAAATGAAAACATTTAGTTTGTGCTCCTCCACACATTTCTCCACCCCTCTTAGTCATTTTCCAAGAGATTGCTGCAGTGGGGTGATTGTTGATATGGTGAACTTGTTGACACAGAAAGTGTTTCTGAGAAGCAAACCTGGCCCTGGTTTGCTTCTCAGGGCCAGGGCCCTGCTGGATCTCAACTTGGTTGGACATTTAAACAAAATGTCCAACCAAGTTGAGATCCAGCAATATATAATTTATAAAGCTGCTGAATCGTATTTGAGTCCTATGGACTTGATAAAGCGTTATACAATTACAAGCAATTTACCATTTATAGGCAAAATGAGTTAATGACATCTTTAAAGATGTCATTTTGAAGATAAAGCATGGTTTGCTGTTTTGGGTCAAAGCATTAAATTACTTGTCTGCACTGATTGCATCTAATCTCAAGAGGTCCAAGCAAAACCAGGAATCAAGACAGTAACAGAGATGTTTCCCATTTCTGAAAGCTGACAAGTCTCTTACGACTTTTGAAAATGGGAAAAGAATCACGGGAGTGATTTAGGCATTTAGGCTGCTTCTCCATCAGCAGTTTTATAGAATCATAAATAGAAAAATACCAATACATTTTCCCCAATATCACACAGTGCAGAAAAAATAACTAGTTAATCAATCAAAAGCAGTAATGAAGTGACAAATGTCAGTGTTTTCATTACAGTAAAATAACACAGGTTCCCAGCCTTTGCCGTTAGTCCAACGGCCATCATTCAACACAAAACACAAGCCGACGTAAATGAGAGCAACTTTTCTAAAGTTCCCAAACATATAACAGTTATCACCTACCAAAGCCAATTAATAAACAAAAATAAGAAGATATAGTTAAAAATCTACGTCACAACATGTTTCCCCATAAGAAGGACAACAAACACCTTTACAGCTTCTGCCGTTAGTCCAACGGCAATCACCCAGCACCCCACAGACGACAGAAAAGCTGCACCAAACTACTCATAAAACTTAAAATATACTTTTAAAGTTTATAAAAAATAATAAATTGGTATCTATAAAATGTCTTTACAATATAAAGGATACAAATATGCAACGTTTCCACAAGCATTACCTGTGTAACGGTAGAAGAATCACCGTAGTGATTTTAGGTTGCTTCCTTCTCATCAACAGTTCAATAGAATGAGAGGATGTCGCTAAAGCCCCCTAGTGGCGGATGTGGTACTACCGGTCGATTTCAAGTTGTTTATTAAAACATAACAAATATTAATTCAACATAAGTTGTATTTCAATAGTTCCTAGACTTAAATATGTGAATTAATATTAAATCTAAACCCTTTTAATGCTATACAATCACATGAGTAATTACATAGAATATCACAGAGCTGCATTGGAGAAACAGTCTTCAACCTAAGACAGTTACAATGTGTCAGCTGTTTGCTTAAGAAGAAACAGACCTCTTTCGTTTAAAGGGAATGTTTGTACGTTGACAAGCTGATACTGCCTCTGATTAAATGAGTGACAACAGTGGTGATAGTACAGAGTGTACAATTCCAGTCCTGTAGCCCAAATGATGGGAATTTATCAACAAACTCTGTTTGTCTGATAAATCATGTTGTCATTTTTGTTGACTACACTCATACTCCTATCACTACCAAAGCATGTTTATGTGAAAATATGTATGTGGTTTTTTTTACCTTTTTACTCCTCACTGGTTAAGTACATGTAACATTTTTTCAGGTATAACAAGCCAGTTCATGCAAGCAAAACTTTAATTTTAAGAATAAATGTGGGTACAGCTGCTTGTCAGTGGATCCATACGTTGCTGCTTTCTTGGGGGGGGGGG